CGGGACCAGCCGGCGGGCGGGCGGGCCGGCGGACGGCGCGGTGGCTGGCCACGTGACCTGGGCTTCCCACGTCGGGCCGGAGTGGCCCGAAATCTTGGGGGACCCTCTCCACCCGGCTCCCTTGCTGCAGACAAGGTGAGACCCGGCTGGGCACCCTCGACGGGAAGCTGGTGAGCGTCGCGAGTGCCCAGCACAGACCGGCATGTGCAGGGTGACGTCTACGCCGTCTGATTCAGGGTTCTGACTTTGGCTCAGCAGTCGGGGCTGAATTTCTCCTCTAACATGCTCCTTATGGCATGACCTGTACTCTAAGCCCGTGAAAGTCTCATGTAGCGTTGAGGTAGACGTTCCGTTGTGGGAATACTGTAGATTTATTCACTCGGCTTTTCCTGGTTGCTTTGGAAGTACCAGCTCTCAGGTGGAACCCGGTGGAAGTTAACTGTTTGACTTTGGACACGTTTGTCCTCTAGGCTAGTCGGCCTAGGAGTCAAGGAAGGTCTGTGACCTGAAAGCCGTTCCACACTTCAGATTCCAGCCACTTGATCTCCTTTTCGTTGTCTGAAATTTGCCTTAGTTGTTACAAATAACTGTAATTGAGCAAAAGTTATGTGTTTTACAGGATGAAGATGAGTGGAAAGAATTTGAACAAAAAGAGGTTGATTACAGCGGCCTCAGAGTTCAGGCAATGCAAATAAGGTATGGACTGATTCCAAATGTGTTTAGCCATAACCCTAAGGATAGGTATTGTATGCTTGGATTTTCTTTAGCTCCTAAACAGGATAATGGTAGCCTTGTGGTTTAGATATGCTTATTAGGACTTAAATGGATTGTGTCTATTCCTCTCTCATGGCTGTCCTTCTGTGTGCTGATCAGATAGCTGCCAGCTCCAAAATCCTTGAGCTTGCCTACTTCCAGCTCTGGCTAGGCCTTTCTATTGGAGACAGCTAAAATGGATTATGTGGTTTCAGAAATTTTCCTTATAAGTTGGTGGAACTTACTTTTCCTTTTTGTTTCAGATCTCTGCTAATAATCATTTTTGTAATGGAAGTATACTTAAGAGAGAAATAGTTTTCTTTTTTAACCTTTTCACCCAATAAAGCCAGCCTGTGTAATTGGCACTGAAATATAGAAATTGAAACTCATTGAAGCCTCCACCTTAAGTGTTAACCATGTCACTGGTTGCAGTGTTAACCATATCACTAAAGGTATAACCTTCACCAGCAGGGTTAACACCATACACTGATACCTAGATTAGTTTCTGTATGACTTCTTTAGGAATGTAATCATGTAGCCTAAGCATGTTAAGTTTAGGAAACATTAATTTTTTAAGATTGGATTTGTTGGTTTAGAGGATTTGAAATTAACGGGTTTTCTCAAATTTAATCTGTGCTAGTAAATTTTACAGTCACATAAATAATTCATTTTAAGGGTTTCCTAATAAGCAGGGGGAAAAAAAACAGGTGACTATAGTACTCCATTGATTTAAGTTTAAAAACCATTGGTATTCCTAGCTTAACAAAATTAGTAGTTCCAGTACTAGCAACCATGTGACATAATGAAAGGGAGGTCATTTTACTTAACTGCCTTGGGTTTTCCAGGTGTTGGGTTTTTTTTTTTTTTTAAGATTTATTTTATTTATACAAAAGCTGGGGGTGTAGGCCGGAGGTTTTGCTGGGGTGAGAGAATTCACCAGACACAGCTGGGAGCAGAACAGACAGATGTACTGAAACACTGCTGAGGGGAGCAACAGGAGAGGCCAGCTGCACCATGTGGGTAGCTCCCTGGCTGGGGCTTGAACTAGTGCTGCAGTGGCTGTGGATAACTTCATAGTACACTCTTAACCTCCTGTGCCACCAGGGGGGAGGCCCTTAGATGTTTTTGAAGAGGCATAATGTAGAGAATATCCCTTTTTCCTGGAGCTTGTCCTCTAAAATGGGGAGGAGTGGGATATGAGGGTCTTAACCACATGGCATTTAGAACTTCTATGCACTTGGTTGGTTCCTCTCATAAAGCTGTGAGTCTGCCTTTCTGGACTATAGGTCCTGAACTTCAGATTCTAGAAGACTTGATGGGAAGGATAGTATTTTGTCAGGTTGAACTTACTGAGCAAGAATAAGCACTTTCTAAGGGGGAAAGGTTTCAAGTTCACTGAATGTTGGGAATTGTTGTTATGGAGGATGACTTTTCTGCCATTGAAAATACATCCCATATCCACACTCAAGGGTTTAATTTTTTTTTTTTTTTGGCTTATTGCGATGAACATTTTTTGAATTGCTCATATCCTCCCCTTTGCTTAGGCACATAAGTAAATCTCAGTATGAGCATTTAAGTTATGCTTGACCTTAAGTAAGATTAACTTTTGTACTTGTCTTTCATTTTACTTAGCATCCTGTCATTCATGTAAAAGGTCTTCCATCAGTCTAAAATTGAAAACGTTGCTTCAAAACATCACTTGTTCAGAAGCTTCTATGGCTTCTCAGTCATTGTGGAGTTTGGGATCTGTATTTCTGTTGCCTGCAAAAATCATTCCTCAAGGGGACATATAACTGACCAGGAAAGACTTAAGGATGAGAATTCATTTGAAGTTTTATTAATAATGTCTAATTTTTTCGCTTTTATTCTGAATATAAATTTTGTATTAAATGTTGACTTTGAAACTCAACAGTGTGAGTCCCCAAGATAGTTTGTTTGGAGTGGGAACTAGGTTACAGACATAAGTAGGATGGAGTTGAGGTTGGGACTAAACCATGGACTTTGGGACAAGACAAAAATGGGTTTTTGCTTTAGTCCTGCTGCCTAGGTGTATAATGTTGGATGTGTCATTTTACTTTTAGGTGTTGATTCTTGTCTGCAAAATTGAACTTAGATTGCTGTGGATCTCTTTGAACAGTGTGGAATACCCCCTTGGTTAATTCTAATCTAAGTTGGAGTTACTCTGGGAATTTCTATTTAGTCATCAGGCATCTGACTTATACCAAGATTGAGAAGAAAGGATAGTGGAGGCACATAAGGTTGTCATGACTAGAGTCAGACTCAGACTCTGGTGAGTCAGTTCACTGTGAACAAAACAGAAGGAAACGTTCAGCTTGGTATAAATATTGTAAAGATCTTGAATTGTTTTTTTTAAGATAAATTTTTTATTTATGAAATACAAGAACCTGGGTTACAGGACAGAAGTGCAAGGGGTGACAGGATTCACCAGAGAACAATGGGGAATAGAACAAATAGATTGAAATACCCTAAGGGGAGTAGCTGGCAAGAGAAGAGGTCTGCTGTGCCATGTGGGTCTGCTCCCTTTCTGAGGACTGAACTCAGGCCCAACTGACTGGAGGTTCTTGATAGCTCTGAGACTTTAACCCCTGCGCCACCAGGGAAGCCCCAGGATCTTGTCTTATCTTTTAAATGCATTGAAGGGGTGGAGGGGATTTTATTTAATATTTGAGGTTACTGAATTGTTGAGTACTTGTCATTTCCATTAAAGAGTTATTGGAACCTGGTGGTTTCTATGAAGCTTCTTGGTAAGAAAACTAGACCTATAGGCACTAATAGGTTAATGGTAGAGCTAGTTTAAATTTTTTTGTTTTTATTGGGTTTTTTTTGCTAGTTAAGTTTTAATTTGAAGAAATTAACTCCTGCATCCAAGCTAGATTCATTGTGGCAAAGGTTAGTGTTACTGTTGTGTGCCAGATAGGACATTGTACTATGTCTTGATTGTAGAAATGAATCATGTTCTACTAAGCAATAGGAGATATAGCAAACATAGTAACTGCTATGGGATAGGAAAAAGACCATCTCACATGAAAAAGTTGAGAAATCCTTGGATGGGGGTAGTGACATTTTAAGCTGGTAGGCAAAGCTAATATGGCCTTTTTCTTTTTTTAAAAGATTTATTTATTTCTGCATACAAGAAATTGGATACAGACCAGAGGTGGGGGAGGGGTGAGAGGATTCCCCAGAGACACAGTGGGGAGCAGAACAGGCAGCTCTAAGTACACTGTTGAGGGGAGCAGTGGTTGGGTCAGGAGAGGTCTGCTGAGCCATGTGGGTCACCTCTCTGGCCAGGAATCGTACCACGCTGCAGTGGCTGTGGATAGCTGCACAGTGCTGTGCCTTAACCCGTTGTGCCACGGGGGAGGGGCCTCAGCTACTTTTTTTTTTTTTTTTTTTTTT